TTATAATGAATATATCACTGAGGAATGCTTTTTAAATGGTGTGACAATTTATGAAAAGTTAATCGAGAAACTTGCTAATTTACCAGGATAACATCTAATAGTGTATTTTTAAAAAAAAAAAAAATGAATTTATATAGATGTGGAAAAATATTATTGAATGTATGTTTTAAATTATTTTCGATATTAAAAATGTGCAATTAGTTTTATTGTCAAAATGTTTCACTCTCTTATTTTAATCTAATATTTCTTTTTTTTTTTCAAACATTAAAAAGAAAGAAACATTTTAAGAAATATTATTTTAATGAAAAAAAATTGTTGCAAAAATTTTGACAATTAGTGCAAAAAAATGACATATCCATTTCTTTTTTTTTTCTCCCTCTGCCAAATTATTTGTTGAATTATTATAAGTTATTTTAAGTAATTACTTAACGATAGTTATTTGTATTCTTATCTGATGAAAATTTTTTAAAGTAATTACTATTAAGAGATGAATTTTTAAATGATAAATTGTGTCACATATTGAAATTTTGTTCAAATTTATATTTAATTTACAAGTTTCATTAATTTTATAGCATAAACTTTGTTATTGATTTGAAAATTACAGCATTATCTATTTTGTAACAAATAACAAATAGCAAAAAGAAAACAAAAAGAGAAACATTATTCCATTTTTCGATTGATTGATTGATTAATTGTTATTTTTTCTGGGGAAAAAAAAGAGAAAAACGAAACATTGTTGGATTAGAAAAAAAAAAAAAAAACATTAGAAATTAGAAAAATTAGAAAAAAAACATTTCTTTTTTTTTGGAGGGGGGTAAAGTATTATCTATTATGGTTTTGATAAAATAAAATTTGATCAATCATTTCAAATGAATGATTTAAATTTAGGCATGAATGGCTTATATATATATGAAATATTATTAATTTGAGCACTCTTTAATACTTGAATAAACAAACAAAAAAGTATTACTACATTTCATTATATTTCTTATTAATTACTAACAAAAAAAGTAGCATTTAATTCGTACTGAAAGAATTAAAATCTGTTTATGATAATGATCATTTGTGAGTTTTTTTTTCAGTTAACACTTTAGCTTCGTTATCATTATTTTTGGTGTTTTTGATTTAACAGTATGAAATTTTTAAAGTTTATTATTTAATTCAATGATTACTTAATGCAACATTATATTATAGAAGAAGGAAATTATCTTATTACAATAAAAAAGATTTTTACTTTGCTTAAAACGTTATTGTACGTCATATACGTCAAAAAGAAAGTCTTACTTTTTGCTTATGACTTTGTTCGTATATCATATAGACAAACTTTGTTGTACGTTGTTGTACGTCATATACGTCAAAAAAATCTTACTTTGCTTATAGTTCTCACGTAGTGAGGAAACTTTGTTGTACGTCATGTACGTCAAAAAAGTCTTACTTTGCTTATAGTCCTCACGTAGTGAGGAAACTTTGTTGTACGTCATATACGTCAAAAAAATCTTACTTTGCTTATAGTTCTCACGTAGTGAGGAAACTTTGTTGTACGTCATATACGTCAACAAAAAAATTTTTTTTTTTTATTTTGCTTATGACTTTACTATATGTCAGTGAAAGTTACAGAAAAAGTTATGATATAACTTTATGCGAAATATTCTAATAATGCTCTTAAAAAAAAAAAAAATAAAATTTACACCTTATGATGAACCATACTTTTTCCCTCTTTTGTTTGCAGCATGCAGATAGCATGCATGCAACACAAACAGAAATGAATTGCACTATTGATCAAATTAAATAATTTTCTCCTGAAAGATTCATTAACAAATAAACCCGAAAAATTGATATAAAAATTGAATTTATTTCGACTGTTTCAATTGCAGCCTAATTTGTTATCATTGATAAGTGTTAAGAACAGAATGAAAGAAATTATTTAAATGAATAATTTAAAATTTATGAAAATATTTAGTGTCAAATTTTTTGATAAAACAAAAAATGTAAATAAATCAAAGTATGCAAAAATATTCGCTATAATTTTTTCTTTGAATTAAGTGCTAAATAAGTTTAAAAATTGTAATTCATCAAAAAAAGATGCATTTTTTGAATTTAATTGACAAATTTATTTGCATTGCATATGATCTATTTACACATTCTGACACTATCATTGACAATTTAAACAAATAAAAATTTTAAATTTCATTTTATAAAAAAAAAAGATTTAACAGTATCTTCATGAGAAATATTACTATAAATATTAGTACTTGAAAAGCCATTAAAAATAAATAATAATAATAACAACAACAAAAAAAAAGCTAATATATTTTTTATTTTATAAAATTTATCCTTGAAATATGAAATTTCAATTTAAAGTGGCTAAAATTTTGAAAAGTTTTCAAATACAAATATTAATATCAATGAATAACAATTGCATCTTATTTTATTTATAAATGAAAATTTACTAGTGATAATATAAATTTTATTAATGGATAAATGTGATATATCAATGTTGATATCAGTAAGTGTTATCAGTTGTTAGACTGTAATCAATATTTATAGCAAACGAAGTATTATGATAATACTATCATCAAAGATAAATTATGTGCTAATGCATGAGAATCTAAATGAAATATCTGATAACTTTGGTGACATGCGACACAAATCTTGTCACAATTGTCAACATCTAGTCAACATACTACAAATTGTAATTAATATTAACATTGTATTGTGAATGTTGCCACTACTTTTCTTTTTTTTTAATTAAGATAAATCTAACTTAAACATTGAATCTAATCTGAAAATTACGCATAATTTTTTTAATTGTATAGCAAAATAAATTAAACTACAATATTACATTTTATTATGATGCATAAATTATTTATATTAATTGGTTAATAATTATAATATTTAAATGAGAAACATTAAATAAATAATAGCGAAAAGTTATTGTTTTTTCTTTGTTTTTTAAACTAAAGCAATAATTATACTTTATTATTTCAAATTCTAATTTGTACTTCAAATATATTTTAATTTATAATTGACAAATAATAATACTAATTCGAGTTCAATTTATAATTAATAATTGACATGAGTGAGACAAAAAGAAAATAATATTGTTGATTTTTATTATTATTATTATTATTATTATTATTATTATTATTATTATTATTATTATTATTATTATTATATAATAAAATTTGCTAACAATTATTTACTAAGCAGTGATTCAATTTTTGGCTAAAAAAAAAGAAAAGAAAAGAAAATATAAATAGCTTTAATATATTTGCTAAATATACCATAAATAATGATAGCAATTCCAATATTATTTCCTGTGTAGTAAAGCTTTACTTTAAGAAAAGGCATATAAGCAAAATAAGGTTATATATATATACTCTTGGCTCTTTTACATATAAATATGTACTCTTGGCTCTTTTGTATATAGATATGTACTTTTTGCTCTTTTATATGCATAAATACTCTTGGCCGTCTTATAATATACTTTTGGCTCTTTCATATATACATAAATGGTCCTGGCTCTTCTGTATGTACATATATATTTTTGCATAAATACTCTTGGCCCTTTTATATATACGTTAATGGTCCTGGCTCTTTTATATATATATGTGCATTTTTGGCTCTTTTATACATACATAAATACCCTTGGCTCTTTTGTATGTACATTTATATTTTTGGCTCTTTTATATATACATAAATGGCTCTGGTTCTTTTGTATGTACATATATATATATACATACTCTTGGCTCTTTAGCTATATTTTAAAAACTTGTCCTTTTTTTTAAAAAAAATGCTTTTTTACTAAGCTAAAATATAAGAGAGAGAGAGAGAGAAAGGAAAAAAAGTTAAAAGACAGGAAGTAAAGTTATATGAGGAAAAGAGAGAGAGAGAGAGAGTTTTTCATCACATATTTTAAAAGCTTTTTATTTTTATTCAAGCAAATAAATGATAAATGCTGGAAAAAAAAATTTTTATGTGACAGAGTGACAAAGAGTGAAATAAAAGATGATGAAAATAATGAAAGTGAGAGGAAGAGGAAGGGGTAAGGGTAGGGGAAGGGGAAGAGGAAGGAAAAGGGGTAGGGCAAAGGGAAGGGTAGTTGAAATAAATTATAGAATTGGCCCAGTAATATTCTGTGCTTGGATATTATTTATGGATGACTGATCATTAGCATAAAACTTTTTGTAAAAACGATGTTGGATTTACTTTAAGCAAATAATACAATTTTATCATTTATTTATAAGAGAGTTAATTTTTATTGTCTATCATTTTAATTTATAATTATTTTATTTGTTTTCTTTTTAATTCATTTATTTATTTAAAAAATTAATGAGATTCGTTTATTTATTTGTTTTTTTATTAGTCTGATTTTATTAAATTATTAATTATTAAATTAAGCGCTAATTGATTCTTTATCTTATTTTGATTTTAGTTTGAGCATTTTAAATTTTAGAATATATAATTTTGCTATGTAAAGTTTTTTTGCTGTTATTATGAATTTAATCGCTTAATTAATTGCATAAAGTATTAATTTTTAATTATAAATATTTTCTTTAAATAATTATTAATTATTATTTTGTGATTATAAATAATTTAACTTGAGCATTTTAAATTATAGGATGCGAAATGAAACTTTTTTTGTTATTATTAAGAATTTAATTGCGTAATTAATTGCATAATTGTTTAAAATATTTATTGTAAAATGTTGATTAAAATATTTATTATCTATAAAATCATTATAATAAAGAAATTATGTTTTTCTCGATTTATCAAACAAAACTTATTGTTAATCTATTTTTTTTTCTGCCTGAAAATTTAAATATATTTTGTTACTTTATTGTTTAAAATTAATTATTTTTTTTTTTTTGCCAAGAAAAAAAAGTCATATATTTATTTAATATTACTATAATCGTTTATTCTTTTAAGGTGCAATTTTCATCATAATATTACATCTAAATGCTTATCGTCGTGTTGTTACGAGGTGACAACAACGGCTAATGATCTTATTTGTTTACCATTTGCAACGACAACTACAACGACAACAATTACTATTGATAGCATTTTTATTACAATTATTACTTATGCAACGTAACTTTGACGTAGCGGCACAATTAATTACAGTTGCTGGTAATTTAATATTCTTTTTTTTTTTAACTTTTAATTCTTTAAAAATATTTAAAATTTTTAAATTATATCCAAACAATTACAAATAAATTAAAAGATAATTATAGTTTGAAGTAAGTCTAATAGAATTACACTTTGTAATAAACTTTAGTACAATTATAATTTTAACATAGTAACAGTTCAAAACACTTAAAAATAAAATAACCTTATTGATTTTTTTGTTTTTTTTTTGTGCTTAAAAAATTTTAAATACACAAATATGAATAAGATTAAAATTTGAAATTATATTCAAACTTTTCAAATGAATTAGGAGATAAGTATATTTTGAAGTAAGTTTAGTAGAATTACACTTTGAAATAACTTTAATACAATTAAATTTTAAAGTAGCAAAAAATTAAACTTTTGAAAGTAAAATAATTTTTATTTACTTTTTTTTTTGCATTCTTTCTTTCACTTAAAAATTCTTAAAAGCATTCCTAAATCAAAAGAAAAAGCATAAAATAAATCTTTTTGATTGCAAAACAAAAATTCAAATTTTCTGAAAATAAAATAACTTTAATTATTTCTCTTTTTGCTTTTTTTTTCCTTCCCCATTTCTTTTATCCTTTATAGTTATATTTAAATAAATTTACTATTTATAAAATTTTTAATAATTACTTAAAAAAGTAATTGTTAAGAATATTTCGCATTAATTTCAATTTATTATACAATTTTCTTTCTATTATCTGCTAAAAAAAATCAAATTTATATAATTTATAAATCAAATTGTCACATTTATATTTAAATAAATTTATTAAAAATATTTCGCATTAATTTCAATTTATTGTAGAATTTTCGATGCGTGTCCCAGGTCGTTGTACGGTTGTTTCTGGTACCAAAAGTAACTCAAAAATTTTACAACGACAACAATTTGATTGTGGTGGTAGCAAATTACTACCACAACAACAACGTCGTTGCATTCCACTTCAACATTTTCATGATGGCATTGTTGATTGTCCTGATGGAAGTGATGAGTGTAAGTTAATTAATTAGTTTAATATTTTAATCTTTTTAAATTTAAATAGATTAAATTATAAAATTTATGAATTAATACTGTAATTATTAACAATTAATAATGGCAATCTTTTTAAACAAACTAAAATTATCAATTTTATCAGTTAAGTTGTAAACATTTCAAATAAGCTAAATTATCAACTTAATATTGCAATCTTTTTAAAAAAGCTAAAATTATTCAATTTTGTCAATTAATATTTTGAGCTTTTTAAATAAGCTAAATTGTCAGTTAATATTATAATACTTACTAATTATTATTGTAATCTTTTTAAATAAGTTAAGTTATCAATTATTCAGCAAATTAAATAAATCAAAAATCTTATTGTGTAAATCAAAATCAATTTTAAATAAGTTAAAATATCAATGTTATCAATTATTAAATAAATCAAAATCAATTAATAATTAAATCAAAACCGATTTAACCCTCCCCCCTCTTAACCAAACCTTATTAAATAAATCAATTAATATTGTAAACTTTAATATTAATATCTGCAAAATCAATCAATATTATAATTTTTTTAAATAAGTTGAATTAACAATTTTTATCAATAATCAGTAGTTATTTCAAAAAAAAAAAAAAAAAAACAAACATTATCAATAAAAAATCTAATCTAATAATAAATTATTGATTATACGAAATTTTACGTTTGTGCTTTCTTTAAAAGGAAAAAAGTTATGAATTATAAAAAATAATTGAACAAAAGAAAAAAAAAACAAAACAAAACAAAATGCTACTAATATTTGAAATGATTCACATTAAATTAATTGAACTTATAATTTAATTCAAATTTAATTTAAATTAATTTAAAAAATTTCTTTCACAATTTTTTCATTTTTTTTTTTTTTAGTTTGTTTTCCTGGTTACGTCAAATGTGGAACATATTGCGTATCATTAAAATATGCAGCACAGTGCTTTATTAATCCCAGTAATGTTTTACTCATTAAAATTTTTTTTTTCTTAATTGTAAAATTTGCATAAAATTTAAATCAATAATTTTATATTTATTTTTTTAGGATGTGATAATACGCCAACATCACCGCAATTTTGTGATGTTATCAGTAAGTTTTTTTAATTTTAATTTAGAAAAAAAAAGGATTGAAGTTATTTCAAAAATTTAATTGTTCAAAAAATTTTTGTCAGTTTTTTGAAGTGTCAGATCGAAATATAATAAAATTAAATATTATTTTAAATGAATTTGCAAAATCTTTCTGTTATAATTTTCGTTATACTAACATATATCAATACTAACACTATTATATTTAATGTTTAAAATATGATATGTAAATTAAATAATAATTTATATAAAATGATATATACATTTATGATAATTTCAATTGATAAGCAAAATTTCAAAAAAATTTTTTTCAATTTTCTTTTTTTTTAGAGAAAAAATTATGTTCAATTGAGGGAACAGTGCCTTGCAAAGGTTATGGTGAATGTGTGATGAAAAAATGGATCGAAAATGGTCAAACTAATTGTATTGATAAATCTGATCAAGGTTCTTCTTTATCATCAAAATGATTTATTCTCTAATTAATATCAAATTTAATAAATGAATAAAAGTATGCACGTGTACGTGATTCACGTGAAAATAGAACTCATTTCAAAACAATTTTTTTTGTATGTTACTTTTGAATTATTATCTAATTTAAATGTTTATTTAATTTTTTCAAATTATTTCAATTTTTTTTTTTAGATCTTGATTACATTGCTGTATTTGGTATTAAACGTGGTACTAATCGATATCAAAATTTACAATTTATAAGTAATACATCGGATAATTTGAATGATATGATGATTAGCACTCAACAATTTATACCATCTTGGCTTCAATTTGTTTCCCCATCACCATCATATCATGGTTTTATTGATCATACTGATCATGGATCTATATCGATGATCACAAATGATTGGAAGAATGATAATGCAATCACTCAATCAACAACTACACAATTTATCTTTCAAATACCAAATAATAACAATGATAATAATGATAATAGTAATAAAAGTTCGATTGATCAACATTTTAAATTATCAAATTTTGATCCTACAATAGTTGGATTTATCAATAAATCAGAAAGTAACAGTAATAATTTTAATTTTACACAAATAAATCATTTGATGCAAAAAAATTTGCAAAATTTTACCACTGGAATTGATAAAAATCAAACAAGGTATAATTTTTCAAATTCTGTTTCTAATTTCTAAAAATTTATTTAATCACTATAAGAATCAAATATAAATGATTTTTAATCTACTTTTTTTTTTACTAATCGTTATTGTTAAAATGCTATAATAATAATAATAACAATAATAATAATAATTTTATCATCATTATCTTGATGAAAAATTTAATGAAACAAATTTTAGAAAAATTATAAAACTCAATAAGCAGAGCATTAGCAAATCCGATAAGTTGATAGAAAAAAAATGATAAAAAAAAAGTTAGTTAATAACTATAATATTAATGAAATATTATTATCAGTTAAATTTTCCAGTACTATTCGAATCAGTAACGATAATGGAGATAATAAATTAGGATATAATGGTATCTTAAAACAGGATAATATCATTGTATCAAATAATATTTCATCATCATCATTATCACCATCATTATCATCATCATCATTATCATCATCATCATCGCCATCATTATCATCATCGTTATTGCCATCGTTATCACCGCCATTAGCACCATCGTTATCATCATCATTATCATCATCGTTATCACCATCATCATTGTCATCAAACAAGATAACGAATCAAAATAATATGTTCAATTCTTCTATAAAAACGATATCAAATAGTGTTGAAAATAGAGCAATAATATTAAAGGAATTAGAACAAATGCAATCATCAAATTTATCAAAACAACAACGAGAGGAACAGATTATCAGTACCTCACAAAATGGTAATCTCTCTCTCTCTCTCTCTCTCTCTCTCTCTCTCTTTCCTTCAAGAAGGCAATTCATTATGTTATATTATCAATAATTTTTATGTTATAATTAAACAAGCAATTTTAAAAATTATTAGATGATTTGGCTAATCTTATCACCAGTACCATAACTTATCACTTATCACCGGATCAAATTGCTTGTGCTCGTTACGAATATGCTGAAGCACACCGTTTGGTACCAGAACCATTATGCACCTGTCCACCAGGAGAAATGCCCGGTGGTAATCATTCAACATGTAAAGGTATATATTATTTAATAATCAAATCATTTTCTTTCAATTTTTTAATTTTAATTTTAGTAATTTAAAAAAATTTAAACGTTTATTATTTTTGATAGTGTAGAAAGAAATTGCTAAATTTCAAATTTAAACTTACCAATTATACAATCAAAATATTTGATAAAGTAATTATATTAAATTCTGATTACAATTATTCCATGCAGTTACATCATTTAGCTGTGATGCAAAATAAAATAATGTAACATGTGAAAAGTAAAAGTTATCAGAAAATATTGATAATTTTATTTTCTTATCAGTAATTGATAAGAAAAATTTCTAATCAGTAATTATGTTAATTTCTTAGCAACTATTATATCAACATTTGGTATAGATGTAAGTAATATGTGCGGTGGTATGGAAACTATTCCGGAAGAGCGATCACGGCTTGCTATTTTAGTGGTTGGTTCTTTTTTAATTAGTTTTTAATTAGCTAATTAAGTAGTCAAATTTATTGTTGCTAATTAATTAGTCTGACTTCTAAAATTTTTTAAATTTGAAACAGAAAAAAAGGAAGTGAGAGAATGAATATTTATCAAAATGCATTTCAATTGAATCACACCTGATTATCTTATCAGACTTATGTCCGGCATAATGATCATTATCACTGATTATTTAATAATTTATAATTCGAGATGTTCTTTTTTTTCAAATACAAGCATAAACAATAGAGAGAGAGAAAGTGAACATTTATTGAAATGTATTTCAGTTGAATCGTACCGGATTACCATATCAGGCCTGCGTCCGGCGTGATGGTCATCCGGTTATGGTGCAACTTGATTGCTCACAATGTACTGTTAAAGAATTTGATGATGCTTTTAAACAAAATTCCAATGATCAATATGTACCTTTACGTATAATGGGTAATAATTAATTGTTGCTAATTAATTAAAAATATGAAATGATTAAATAGCTAATTTAAATAATATATTATTATCATTTATTAGCTTTTTAAAGTGTTTAAATTTCCTTTTTTTTAAAAAAAAAAAGACTATAATATTTAAATTTTAATCACTTTTCTCATATTACAAATCAAATTTTTTCTTAATCACTTCTAATTTTTATTTGTAATTTTATCGTATAAATTATACAATTATCAATGATAATTCTTTTCCTAAATAATTTATTTATTTACAAATTCAATAAAATAACAGTTTCTATTCGAATATTTGATATTAAAATAAAAGAAATTTTTTTTTTTCAAATGACATTTGTTAAAATATTTGATATTATAATTTTTGATTGTAAAAAATGAATTAATAATATATTCGAGATCATGTTTATTATAAAAATTGTAGAACTTTCTGTTGGCGCTTGTTTGACATCAGCGCTTAATGATTGTGATCCAGAACATGCTGATTGTTTAATGAATGGTCCTCGATATGAATGTCGCTGTCATGATGGTTGGAATGATACATCAAAAAATTTTGGTAAAGCAGAAGGAAGACGATGTGAACAATTAATTTTACTTGCTGATGGGTAAAAAATTTAAAATCATTTTTTATTTTCAAATTTCTAAAAAATTCCTTTTTTATTTAATAATTTAATCAATTAATTTAAACATTTATCAAATTAATTTTGATTTTATTTATTTTATTTTTAATTTTTTCAATTAATTTCTAGATGTATTTTATTTTATGGTTATTGTTTATTATGGTGGCTTCTTTTATTTGGTATTAGTTTCATTTTATTATTATTATTATTGTATTGGTTAGGTTCTAAATTATATAAATTATGCAAAAAACGACGAAGACGAAATGTTATAGAGGAACAGGTATCAAATTTATTTTATATTTTTTTTTCTTTTTTTTTTTATTTAAATTAATTTTTATTTTGTTTTATTTTTTTTCCATAATTTTTCATTTTATTTATAGGGTCATTTGGTTGCATCGGAAGTTAGTTCAATCAAAAATAGCAATGCTAATGATAATAAATTAGCAATAATCGAATCAATCAATATGAATAATAATCCAAATTCTATTGATACAATTAGTGTAGCAGCAGATTGTGACGAAAAATTAGCAACAACAACAACAACAACAACAACAACAACAGCAACAACAATAATTGATAATAAATGTATTACTAATTCTATGCAAAATGATAAACAAAATGCAACAAAAAATGCAGAAAAAATTTTAATCAAACAAGAAAGTGTAAAATCATTGAATTTAATGGAAAAAAATGATGAAAAACAACAAACAAAAATGCAATCAGAAAAATTGGAGCAAACTTCTGATCAATTAAAATGTTAGTTAATTACTGATATATTATTATAGTTTAATACGAATATAAATATTAATTTAAATTTCCTCTTTTCTTGGTTTTTTTTTTTTTTTCTTTGATAGCTATGATTGATTAGAAAAAAATTAAGCTGATTAGTTGTTGATAAAAAAATGAGTTAATTAAATGAGATAGAATACATAATATTTTTTAAAATTTTATGGTTAAAACAATTAAAAATTATTTGCATAAATTGTGAGTAATTGAAAAAAAAATAATTTAAAAAATAAAAAAAGCAACAAATGGATATTTTTTTTATTGCTTTGTATTTTGTAGTAATTTTTTTTTTTTAAGGAAAAAATCTAGAATAATTATTTTAACAAATAATTATTTAGTTCCTTTTTCATTTTTAATTAATTAATTTTTAAATAATTATTCATCTTTTCTTTTTCGTTTATATTTTTAAATTCGTAGGTTTAAAAACCAAAAAAAAAACAACTTTTTTTTTCTACTTCCACGCTTTTTTTGCTAATTTTAATTTCATATAGGGAAAAAATTTTCTTTTTTTTTCTTATCTAATACATCATTTATTTATTTATTTACTAATTTTAATTTCATACAGAAAAAAAAAATTTCTCTTTTTTAACCTAATACATTATTTATTTGTTTATTTATTTATTGACTTACATTTTCATTGCTAATTTTAATTTAATGTAGAGAAAAAAATTTCCTTTTTTCTTTTTTTTTACCTAATATATTATTTACTTATTTTGTTTGTTTGCAGCTGAAAGAGTGAAAATTGAACAAAATGAGCAAAAATTATCAATGAATCAACATGCTAAGATTAATTCATCAATTTTATCAAAAAATAAATTAATGAGGAAAACGTTATCAGATGATCAAAATGAATCAATCAATGAATCATTGGAAACATCAAAGAATGCAACAATAAATCAATCACAAAAATTTACCGAATTAACACAAAATTATGATGATGAAAAAATGTTGAAAAATGTTGAAACTATGGAAGCTACAAATTCAAAAGTGATGGTAAAATAGAATAGTAAATTGATGTGAACAAATTTTCCTTTCTTTTTGTTTTATTAATTTTTGTGTAAAAATGTTAATTTGTTAAAGTTTTGTAAGAAAAAAAAAAAATTATTACTACACATTGTTATTTTAGGTAAGATTAAATTATTGCAAAAAATAAAAATTTTTAAAAAAAGAAAAATTATTTTAATTTTTTAAAATTTTTTTTTTACAATGAAATTAATAAAATTTTGCAGAATATCAGTCAGTCAGTATCGGAAACATCACTACGTACAATGTGGGAATTATTTAAGCAGGGCACATGGAAACAATCATCCAGACCTAGTTGTTAGTTCGTTTAATTGGTGCAAAAAAAACAAAAACAAAAACAAATAAGTTTAAATTGAACAGAGAAATTAATTTTTTTTTAATAGGTTTAAATTTATGTATAATTTCTACTATTATTAAAATTTTTCTCTTATTTTTTTTTTGCAGATTGTAACTTATGTTATATTTATATTTAGCTATTTTTTTTTTTAAGTATTATTAATTGCTTAAAATTTATACCTTCTCTCTTTCTCTCTTTCTCTCTCTCTCTCTAGTAAAAATGCACATATATTGATTTATTGCTTTCGTTTAAAGTTAATTATTTCAAATAAAATTTTTTCATTTCAATCTAAATGTTATTGTTTGTAATGTGACAAAAAAAAAAGAAAAAAAACAAACAAATTAGAGAAGTATTTGAAACTTTTTTCTACTTCAATAATTTATTTCAAATTTCATTTTTTCTACTAAAAATAGAAAAATGGAACAAAAAACAAGAAAAAAAAACAGAAACTTTTTGTTAGTTAAATAGTAAACAAATTTTTACAAAAAAAAAAAAAAAAAACAAATTTCTTTGGAGCTATCAAATCTTCAACATCATCATTGGATCATCTTATCGATGTATTCTTATGCCGAAAACGAAACAAGAAAATTCATCCGGATACTATCACAATATCAAATGATCCGGAATATCCGTTAAATACTATTAAAATATCAAATTCTACAAATGCTGATACTATTCCATCAATTTCACCACTTTCTCATCTATCAAATTCGGCATTTACGACAGCTATCACATGTTGTAGTATTAATACTGCAACAACAACAACAATAACAACTGCAACAACAACAACAACAAATGATTCAATTAGCTGCTATTACTCGACTAATAATATGGAGGAGCAATTATTTACTGCAACTGGAAAAGTACCAATGCAAAGTCAATTATTGGAGCAAAAAATTATAACTGAAACAAAAACATTAACAACAAAAGTACCATATCATTGTTACCACAAGAATTATCACTGTTATCACTGAAGAATACATCGTCAGTACAATCAATGAATCCTACTCCTACTACTACTACTATCATATCAGATCGATTAGAATTTACTAAAGTTGATCAGCAATCAATATTAAATGATGCTAAAAAAGATTCAATTGATAATGCTACTACAACTATCAATGAAATGACGCAACAATGTATGATTGATAGAAATCAGAAATTATCAGTGATTGAACAAAATGAAAATAAAATAAAAGGTATATTGAAATAAATACAAAATGTATATTTTAAAATTTGCATAAATTATGCTTATTTCAAAGTTTAATTTAATTCTTTTCTTTTTCTTTGCTTTGTTTTGCTTTTTTTCGTTTTTTTTTTTAGATGAAATGGATACTAAATTATCAACAACTACTATTGTTACCAGTTCAGATAAACAATTGAAACAATGTACCAGCAGTACAGAGCAATCCATTTCTAGTAAAACACAATCTGAGAATGATAGCTGTGATATGATAACAATGATAAAAAATGATAATGATGATGATGGCGATGGCGATGATAATTTAAATGAAAAGATGCTATCAACAAATGATGAATTAAGAAATACATTAAAAGAGGTTATGAAGATGATAAATGATAAATTTTTTTACTTTTTTTTTTGTTATTGTGTTTTTAGTGAAAAAGTTTTTTACTATTGAAGTTTTTATTATTTTGAAGAAAAATTTATTAAAATAAAAATTAGGCATAGAAATGGTGTTCGTTTTCTTTTATTTTTGTCTCATGAAATTTTTGGAAAAAAAAAAAATAAATTATTATTATAGGTAACATCAACAAAACCACCAATTAAACGACTCACTGAGAAGCAAAAAGAGAAATTAAGTGCATCATGTGGACATTTGCATATTCAAAGTGATGATGAAATGAATAGAAAAGGTAGGTAATATAATTGAGAAAAAATTCATTCTGTATCCTATTTATTTACTTATCAATTTAATAAAGTTAAGTAAACAAACCAATTACTATTATTATTATTGTTATTGTTTTTGTTATTATTATTATTACTATTGCTATTATTATTATTACTATTATTATTATTACCATTATTGTTACTATCATTATTATTAATATAATTAATGTAAGAATGAAATGAAATTAATAGAATCAATTGCTATTATTATTATTACTACTATTATAGGTGATGGTGGTTCTATTCGACAATTTTTAGCAACTGCAAGAAATGAATCACGGCGAAAACTTTCAAGTATATCAGAAAAAAGCACTGAAATGATGAATGGCGGAAATCAATTGATATCAGCGCCAAGTAGTATCAGTTGTCCAACAACTACACGCAGAAGCAAAGGTTTTGATATTAAATGATTATAATAAATGATAGTTTCTATAATGAAAACTTAATAATGTTTATATTGTAATATATATTTCGTTGTAGCTAATAAATTTAATTTTTTATCATTTTAGGCTTTTTATCACTTTCAATTAGATATCTCTAAATTTTTTAATCAATTAGAAATTACTTATTACTTATAGGAATAAATAATATTGATTTGTAATTTACTTATAGGAATAGATGGTTTGCAATTACTTATAGACAATATTGATTTGCAATTACTTACAGACAATATCGCTTTGCAATTACTTATAGATAATATTGATTTGGTTGCAATTACTTATAGACAATATTGATTTGCGATTACTTATAGGCCAATTTACTTATAGGAATAGGTAATATTACTTTTGTAGATTATAGACAACTACCACGTACATTACAAAGACATCGTGATAATGCTTACGGGGTATGGAATTATTTTTTCGCAGATTTAATGGCATCATTAACCGAAGAGCCAACAACTAATATCAATGATTGTGCAAAAACAATACCAAATAATAATGGTACAACAATACGAAATGCTAGCAGTAAGCATTCTCATTAATCATAAATTAATGAAAAAATAATTAATAATTCAATTTATTTATAGATTGGAGTAAATTAGAGCAGAATCAAATTAATGCTAAACTGAAACATAAAACTGGTAGTAATATAAGTCAACATTCAATTGCTATTACTGATAAACAACGTCCACCGTGGAATTTTTCACCATTAAAAGATGGTTAGTACTTGTAATAAATAGATAATTAGAAAATTTTGAAAATAAATATATCATATTTGATCTACAATGATCATTTTATCTTATCAAATGATGCATATATATATGTTTGATAAAAAAATTAAAATCTAATTTTATTATTAATCATTTAAATTATTTGAAAATTATTTTAACTAATAAGCAATTTGTATATTTTCAACTTTTATTCGTCATCTTTCATATATGTATATGTGACAAATGACAAATATTTGATTATGATTAAAAAATTTAAGCATTTATTATTCTTTCACAAATACTAATAATATTGTTTGAGGTAATTTGGATCGTATTGCGCCACTTCAACCTATTTTTTCACATAGCAATCAGCCGCGCAAATGGCTTTCAGCATTACATCTTAACGACGATAAATATGCTACAGCTTTACAGTCCAGTAGAAGAAATATTAGTGAACGTCGACAAAGTGATTGCAATTTACGTGATATTTCACATTTACGTATGACACGTGGATCACATTCAGCACGATTGCATACACGTTTAACATCTGCTAAAATGTCACGAAATATCAGTGGCGTAAAATGGACACCAAATGATATCAATAATCAACCAATAAAAGAACAATTATGGTGGGGTAAATAACAAAATAAAAAAAAAAAAAAATTTAATAAATTTGCCTTTATCCACTTAATTTAATTAGTGCTTTCATATCAGGGAAGATTTCTGATAATTATTATCACTGCAGTGTTATATTTGTCATGAATTTGTTGATTATAAATATGTTTGGTATTTATATTTTGTATTAATAAAATGATAGTAATACTTATGTTCAAAACAACTAAACATTTCATCAATTCCATATGCTTTTAAAAAAAAATTTTTTTGAATAAATCAGCAAATAATATTGAAATAGAAATATTAAAAAAAAAAAAAAAAAAACATCATGCACATTATTAACATATCTAAAAATTTTACTTGCATTTTCTAAGCGAAATGAATCAAATTAATTAATAAATCTTTTATAGTTTAAATATTAAAATACACTTTTGCAATTAAGTTCTGCGCAAAAATTCATCAGCAAAATTAATAAAACTTTCAACTAACAATGGCTTAAATTCAATTTAAGAATTAAATTAAATTTTATTTCAAATTTAAATTTTGAATTTTTTAGAAAATTTAAAATTTGTAATAGTTTTCGTACATTAAACAAGGAAATTGATTCTAAGCCAATTTTTAAGTACTTTAGGACAAGGGAATGAATTTTAATGATATTTCATTTCAATAATTAAATTTTTAATAAAATGATAATTTATAGCAAGAAAAATTTCTCTATTAATGATAATTTATCAATGAAGAAATTTTCTTTCATGAAATTATCATCGTAATTATCAATCGTTCATTCTTTCAGCAATCAATGTTCAATGTTTATTTGAAAAAATTTAATTGTATCGCAGAACAATGTGATCTTTGTACCGTAATGAACATTTTCAATGCAATCAATAATACATTTTGGTTAATTCTATCATTTAAAAAAGATTTTCTTTTTTTTTTTCTCTTCGAATAAAAAATTATTTTACTATGTTTATGAATTGTTCTTCGTTATTATCATTGCATTTACAATCAACAAAATTCTTTGCACTACATAAAAATTTTTTTCGGTAAGTTTTTTTTTTTTTCATTTTTTACTAAATTTCAATAACAAACCAAAAAAAGAAGGGTAAACATTTTTCTTTGTTTTTTTTTATCCTTTTTTTTTCTGAGATATTTCTTACGCTAAATTATTTGTTAAATTACGATATATGTCATAAATAAATGATTAATTAAATTATTAAATTTATCAATCGCTGGGGGAAAAAATGATTTAAGTCTCATGTAAATATTCTCGAAATATATTTGAGAGTTTTTATTTTTTAAAAAAGACACTTCGACTTTCATTTAAAATGTTGTCAATATTGTCAAGAAAGTGACAAAATATCTTAATTAGGTAGTAAAAGTAATAAAATCATATATTTTCTTAAGGATTTCTTAAGTTATTCTTAAGAATCTTTGAATTGATAACTCACAATAACTTTTTCTATTTTCTATTCTATCTTTTTACTCTTTTTTTGTAGATTATTTATAATTAATTCTTCTTAATGGAAGAATATTTCATGAAAAATTGCTAAATAATTTTTTCCCAATTTTTTTTTTTTTTCATTTTAAAATGTGACATTTCTTTAAATTAAATTCATGAACTTCTTCTGTTAATTTGAAATTGAGCTACAGATTGAAATCATGGGAAGCGGAATTTCAACAAGCCGTCGAAAAAGTGAAACAATTAGCGGAAAGACAAGATGTATCAACGAAACTGAAACTTTATGGCCTTTATAAACAAGTAATTCTGTTCGTAATAATATTTTATCATTATAAAAATATTATTCTTATTTTTTTGATTAAAATTTATTAATTCTTTAATTTCAAATATTCATATAACAATGTCATATTTGAAAGGCAACAATGGTGACATTGACAGTAAACGACCACTATTATTATCATCGTCACAAGCAAAATATGATAGTTGAGAGAACTGAAAGGAAGATCAATGGTATTTCTTTTTAAATATTTATTAAATTCTATACTTTCTCAACTATTTCCTTTTTGCATTTCGAATAAGCTATATATATTTGAAATTTGTAATTTTTATCATAAAATTGTAAATATTTAGGATAAAGCAAAAAAGATGTACATCGATTTAGTCAATAAACTATCTACAATTGCAAAAACTTCATCTAAAATAGTTTTTGATGATCTAAAATCTATACCTGGTCTTGATATCATTATTGAAGATAAAATTTTATGGATAAAACTTAACAGACCAAATAAACACAATGCGTTAACTTTAGAGGTAAGCAATCATCCTATGTATATTTTGAATAATTTGGTAAATTGATTATGAAATTAATTAAGTTTAAACAATTAAGTAAAGTTGATAAGTAGTGCAAAGATGTATGTAAAGTCAACGCATTTTAAATATTATAACAGTGCATAAAAAATTAGTTAAATATCGAAAAAGATTATTGATATTAATGATTTGATTTCGAATTTAAAAAATAAAATTTAGATGTATGATGGTATTACGAATGCCCTGAATTATGCAAATGAGACTGATACTATAGTGACTGCATTTATCGGTAGGTAATTTTGCCATCTAGCATTCAACATAGCACTATTTTCATTTTCAAGCATTCCTCAAATTTCAAACATCTTTGTCAATTTTATTTTGTTAGAAATTGCTGCATTCTAGGAACTAAAAGTTTTAATTGACAGGATCAGGCCAGTATTTTTGTAGCGGTAACAATTTAACAAATTTCACTGAAGTCACTGGTCTCGAGGACATACCACGTATGATTTCTAAAACAAGTCAAATACTCAGTTCATACGTTGCTGCTTATATTAACCATAAAAAAGCCTTAGTCGCACTGATAAATGGTCCTGCAATTGGTATTGCTGTTACTGTATTACCTTTATTTGACTTAGTTCTTGCTTCTGATAAAGTTTGTTGAAAATTAACCTTCTTTTCATTTTAACAACTGTTTTTCTTTCTTTTTTTTTTTATTACTACCATTATTATTTAAGGAAATTTCCGCCTGAATATAAATCAAAATTTTAGGCAATATTCAGTACACCGTTCACAATTTTGGGACAATCTCCGGAAGGTTGTTCATCGTATACATTCCCAATGATAATGGGACACAGTAAGGTTGGTAATGATATAAACAATAAGTTAATAAGCCAATAAATAAGTGATTTTACAACAAACATGAATGAAAAATGATTTCAAATTATATCATAACTCAAGATTATTATCAAATAACTATATGACAAAACTACAAACTTTTGCCTCACAATAAATGATATAAATTGAAATAAATTCACCACATATTTTTTATCCTCAAATTATTTCAGGCATCAGAAGTCTTAATTTTTGATAAAAAAATTAACCGCCCAAGAAGTATATGAGCGAAACCTGGTATGTCAAGTGATGTCATCATTCACTTTTCGAGAAGAGGCAGAAATTTATGTGCGAAAGATATCCCAATTGCCACCTGAATCACTAATCTGTAACAAAGAATTACTTCGAAACATACATCGTGAGGCACTTCTTGCACAAAACGAACGTGAGGTTTCTCTTCTGATGCAGCGTTTTCAAAGTGTCGAATGTATGAATGCAATACAACAATTTTTGATGAGAAAAAGTGATATTTTTAAGATTTTTTTTTTCAGAATACAAATCTTATTTTAAATTTATAACTTAAAAATTAAAGTAAATAAGGGATTTGAATGTTTATCTGAAGCAAGCATATTTAATACAGTTTTTCTGGGACAATTCCTTACGAAAGAATCAGAAATAGAAAATCTGGCCAAACTTCGGCATAACTTCAACATGAATAAGCATCGGCATAACTTTCCCGAATGTAAGAAATGAAGAAAAAAAATGAAACAACTAAATATATAAAGCAGTTTCCCTACTCTACTCTGGTAAATTATTTACAAAAAACAAGGCGATCCGTGTTTTCTCAAATTTCCAAAGATTCTGTATATTCCTTTAAAAAATCTAATTTTATAATAGAATCCATCTTTCGATCAAATTTTTTTTCGTTTTTTTTTTTTTTTGTCCTAACAATATTTCGATATTATAATCTAAAAGAATGTTTTGTAAAAGAAATGCATCAGGAAGGATAATCATAAACAATTTTAGTAACTCAACGTCAAAAATGCTCGTTCCAATAAATATTTTATGCTTAATAAATATGTTCCTTACATCACCTAATGTTTGACGAGAACGTTTCTCTGAATGTTTATAGGAACTGCCAAAATTGATCATTCTGAACTAGCTTCTCCTCTCTCCATCATTTGTAGCAGTAGCAATACGATCATTTTTTAGAAGATTGATACACGTCTGTGTTTCACAATCTTTTGTGGCACCATCTAGCAAAATCATTTTTTGCTCAGCACATTTATCGCAAGCAGGAATTCGTATCACAATGTATTGTGGTTCCTGGAATGTTTGTAAATGAATTTTTAAAAAATCGTTTGAAATCTAACATTCAAAAAACATAAAAAACTAAAGTAAGAGCTGAGAATCTGCATGATGTTTATTATGCTGCTGCAATGTAATCACAACTCTTACAAAATTATGCCACTTCGTTTTTGGATTACTTTTCTCTATTTATGATTTGCCTATTCATCATGTAGAATTATTACTTATGTGAAGTTCAGTTAGTTACTTTTTCAATTACGAACAGTTGCTTTTCATAGCTTTAACATAATTACATTTAGGAATTAAAGAAATCAGCGAATTTTAGAATTATGATAATAATATCAGGAAAGAAAAAATCTTCTGATAAACTTTCCGATCGCATACAACACAGCAAAAATTTGGCTCTTCCTACTTATGACAACCATTCGCTGGAGTAACTTTAATACCTGGAACTATATTGCTAACCATCAATTTCAAATTTAAAAGACAAAAAAATGAGCATCAAATAGAAGATATACACCTGGAATCTGGGAAATGCATCTTCGGCCATTAATATTTTTTGATATAGTATCTTCACCAACACTTTCAGAAGATAAAGTTCTAGCTCTTTCACTATATGATTCATGATCACTACGTTTCCCAGAACTTTCATCTAAAAAAGCAATTTACCATAGGTGATCTCCAACTTTAATAAAACAGAAGATATTGAAAATAAGAATTGTGTTAAAATTATGGAAGCTTACCATGAAGCAATCGCATTTCATCTTCACTCGAAATGGCCATCACTGAACTGCACTTTATATCCTCCACTTTGCTTTACAGTACTTAATTGTAGCCGAATATATTTTACCATCTCGTTTAATTTCAACTTCAGTGCCTATTAACGATAGTTGTGATTCAACATGGTGATCTTCTGAAACAATTATCATTAGCATCCTTATTTTTTAAATAAAACGAAATCTTTTTTTTTTTCTTTTAAACTAAAACACAGGAAAAAACAAATTCAGACGACTGGTGAAATCAATTTCGATAACATAACAATAAAGTAAACTCAATAAAATCCAATAAATAAAAATACTAAAATTTTACCACTGACAAGAACTGTTTTTGAAGCACTAGATGTTGGCGGTTCCACTGAAGTATTCTGAAATGACTGATTATTTAATTTCTTAGTTAAATGTGAATACAAATCCTAAGGAAACATTTTTTGAGAATAAAAAAATACAGGTAAAAAATTTGGTGAAAATTCCACACAGCCAACATCTTCCATTCTTCGCTTTTTTGTTGTCACCACTTCATTTCTGCAAATGACATATTTTCACTTCAATCTCCGATTCAAAAAGCAAAAATGCACCTTAGAAAATAGTAACTCTTTCTTCACAATAGAATTTATTTCTTAAACTGTATACTTCGATTTTTTTTTTTTTAATTATACATTTAAATCCTTAAGCAATAGGGTTTATCACAGCAGACCGATATAAAACACAGCAAACAGATATATAAAAGTTTACGATTCCATAGCCATCTGAATGATTCGTTGCAAAGTTTCGTCAGTTAAATTGTCAACATCAATATTATGCAACGCTAGGTCCCTCGGTGTAAACTGAAATTTCAAATGTACCGTAAGATGTTAATAAATATTAGCGATAAGATTCAAAATAAACATTATCTTGATATTTCTCAATCATTAGATCTTAAACTATTGAAGCATTACGCAAAATCAATTAAGTGGATTAAAGTCTTGGTAAAGTTAGTTAAAAATAATTATTTAATGAATAACGGAACTGAAGAACATACAAAATATTCCTTCTGAAGTGTAGCATCCGTAAGTTTCAATGAGCCATCATCCAGAATATACAATGTTAAACGATCTCCAGCATCGGATGAAGAACTAGGCATACCATTAGAATAAGAAGAATGCGGTATATCAATATGCTCATGTTTCAACTCATTCTGTTGAGTTGCACCATTTGGTTCAATCAGAGACATAATTGTATTTATTTGATCTTCTGTTAATTCACCTGAATTCTCTATATCGATACCGGCTACCTCCAACACTTCCAATGGAACCTGAAATATGCTGAAATTTTCTTAAGCTCAAAAATTTCAATTTAAATTTTGAATCTAACAAGCTCTAAGTGAAGTTAGATGAATTGCTGAGACACGTCATATTAATTACGAATTTCAAGGAATGACTTAAGAATATATAGAACCAATAAAAGTACATTAATTATCGCAGGCAACGCTCCATAACGCATATAGAGATATCTAACTGGAACAATATCCTATCCGGTCTTAATAGTTGAATAATGTTGAAATATAAGAAAATAGAGCCTGCAAAGCTTCAAAGAAATGCAAAAACTTGTCGTATCGTATCAACTAATAATAGGAAATTCTAAACTGCTAGTAGCATTACCAGTGGACTACTTTCAAAGTCTTTGAACAGTAAAATAAAAATAAACAAATAAAAGTTTACCTTCCTTTACCATGCCACTTAAAAGACATATTTGGCATACAGATGTACAATTTGAGAAGTCAATGAAAAAAATTGACCACAATAGAAATATTTGAATTTTCTGTAGTTTACAGTCAACTTTAAACTTAAATAAAAATCTTGAAAAATGTGCAGAGAAAAAATGTCTTACCGATTTGTAATGCATTTTCCACATATAATGAGCTCGCTTCTTTCTTATCAAATTGTCCACTAATTGCTATACGCAGATTATTCAGTTATTTCTCCAATGATGTCATCCTGTCAAGAGACTAATTTAAATTAAAATTAACTAATTTCAGATATTCAATATTATTCATTTCAGGATGATAAGATTAATGTCACATTATCGTATATTGCTCAGGCAAATACTTATTTTAGTGGAAGCAAGATGAATAAATTAATACATATTTTTTTCTTAACATATTTTGCTCTTTCCCTCTTAAAAGTGATACGTTCATTTTATTAAAATACATGTTAGTTAGTCCCTTGGGTTACTGTAAGCGGAAAATTGTCATTTTTAAAAATTGCACGTTCGAGCAGTGTGACTAGACTGCCCCGCTCATTGTTCAATAGCAATAGAAGCAGTCCATTGCTGAGAGAATCGAAGAAAAGTAATTTGACTGCATTTGAAGGAACAGAAAGAGAAAGAGTCTCTCCCTCTCTCTCTCTCTCCCTCTCTCTCTCTCTCTCTTTCTATTCCTATCTTTTTATATTAATGTCCATTTAATCATAAATTATTTTACTGTATTATTTCTTCATATTTTAATTATTTGTCATAAGAATTATTAATTATAATAAAAATGATTTCTTTCTAGATATAACTCTTACTAATAATCTATCATTATTAATAATCTACAGTTAATTATCAACAGAACTACGGGATATTTCAAATAAAATGTTCTTTATACCTTCCATATTGATGAAAAGGAATGAACCATTATCTGTCATTTGGTTAGTTCATTTAATAATTTTATTCTAAAGAAAGTTACGTATTGTAGTATATTGTACTGTTATTGAATTTTTATTTGTAAATGATAACATTTATAGTTATAGTTAAAACTAATTTGAAATACTTGATCTTTAATTAATACTTAATTGGTTTTTGATTTCACAATAATTTTGTATATATATTTTATGAAGAATTTAATTTCAAAACGATAATAATACTTGAAAATTAAAATTCATTAAAATTTTTGGATCAGAGTTTAATTTTAGAAAAGCAATAATTAGTAGTAATATAAGAATGATAGTACTGTTATGAAAGCAAATTAATAATATTTGTTAAAATTTTATACTAATTGTATTATCAAAGTTAAATATGAATTTATGGTTTAGTAATCCATAAAATTTCACAACTATTTGTGATTAATTTCATCTTTAAACGAATTGTTTTTCAATTGGTATTAGCTTAATTATATCATATGAATTTATGATTCAATGAATTCTTACTTTATTAGTGAATTCTTACAACTGGTAAGAGATGTGACACATTTAAATCAATAGTTTCACATATTTTCAGGCGAATTGTATTTGATGAGAAATGGCGACCACCACGAAAAATTATTTTAGAGATAAATATAGAAAGGGCTTGGTTAGGTTATAATCATTATTATTATTTTATTCTTGTTTATTAATATTATCAAAAATCATATGAATTTGAATTTATGGTACAAAGAGAGCTGGAAGATACGAATGTATTTCAGTAACTTTTTTTATTGTTTGGTTTTGTGAATAGTAATTGATTGGTTTTTTTTTTTTTTTTTTAGCGAACTTCTGATTGGAAAAATACCAAATGGTAATCCGGGTGAAATTAAATTTTCTCTCTATCTACTTGCACAACTTTCTTATGGCATTGCGTTAATTGTACAAAAACGCGGAGATATTCTATGCAGTAAGTTTGTGCAATTAGATTTTTGGAAAATATCACTTTTTTTTTTTTGCATAAAGTGATTAATGAATATTAGTTTTGAAATATTTTATAATTCAGGAGATATGGAAACATTTATTCCAATTATACGCCGCTATCAATATGAGAATGAAGATGAGTGTGTTTTTTTCTTTTATTTTAAATAATTTTCTTATCTTTTTTGGTTCTGATTTAGGTCGTTATTTTCTGTTATAATGTTTAGGAAATAAAATTAAATATTGCGTTTTTCTTTCTTTTTTTTTTTTTTTCTTTAGAAATATAAATTTTGAACTGTTATAGATCTACTATGAAAGGTAAAAAAGATCGGAAGAAACGTGTACCAAAACGAAATGATTTTCTTATTTTGGATTCTTCATTTGAGACTATTGTAAGAATTTCTTCCATTTTTATGATTTTATTTCTGTCATTGATCATTTCTAAGAACTTAGTCTTTATGAAGTATAATGCAAAAAATTTTTTTAAATTTTCTAGTAATATCATCTCATTAACTTTATTTAAAATACGATGTATACATATAAACTTTTTTATTTCACTTTAAAATGATTTTATATTTTAAAGGAAAGTGAACATTTGAAGATCGTACTCGATTACAGCGCAATTACATTACATGAAGATATACCACTTCCAGAAATTGACACTCTGTTTAATGATGATTTTGGACCACTAACTGAAGCTGAAGCTCAACAAATGTAATTAACTGTTTAAAAATTCCATTCATAATTAGATCATTTTTAATTAATTGTAAGAATTAAACTATCAGTTTATTTATTTCTATAATTGTAATTCTTTTTTTATTTTTAATCAATTAATTAATAAGATATTTCAGTAAGCTTTTTCTAATTGCAAATTTCATTTTATTTATCAGGGAAGCTCTTTTGAAAGACGATAGCGAGCATATTGAAAGAAAATCAAAAAGCATAAATGAATCCAAAGAAATTGTGAATATAATTCCTGAAACATTAGCGAATGAGGCAGATGTTAATAAAGCGACACATGAAGTAAAAGTTTTCTATGCTAATAGATCGAGATGATCTAATGCAGAGAAATTTAAAAAAGTTCTATTCTTGTAAAAATCTCTTTTTATTATAGATGAAAAAGTAAGATTTGCTTATGATGTAAAATTATTAATTTTGTTATAAAATAGGCATTTGAAATGATGGAAGTAAGCGACGAAAACGAGATTCGTAAAGAGAGGCAATACGATTTAACATCTGATGAAGCTTTACAAGAACCAGAAATCAAGCATCCACCATGCTTATCAGTAAATTTATATGATAATTATGCTTCATTTTTTGTTTAACGATTTAATTTAGAGATATATCAATCTTTTAGTTTTAGCTTTCCTTGCCAAGAATTTCATTCAACATAGTTACGAAGGAAAAAAAAAAATAAGGAAAATATACTTTAAATTATGATACAATTCATTTCGACTACTGCAATATCATATAAGTGTTTATTTTCTTTAGTAGTAATATTTAAGGGATAATTTTTGAAATATTATTTCAGAATTCATTACCTTAATTCAACTTTGTTTTTTTAGATACTTGAATTGAGTGATGTTCATGACTCACAAATCATAATTCCAAAAAAGAAACGCCGCAAGAATGGCATCATTATTGATGAATTAACAATGTTCAACAAGGTTGATTTTATTATATTTTCCAATAAAATCGAAAAAATTACTTTAAAAAATTAAATATTTCTCAAATGTTTCAGGCACAACTTCAAGCTCAGATTGATTGTATTGATGACCTGTTGCATACACGTGATGAAATGATTCCTCAAATATCAAAACGTGGAGCGGTAACAGTTCAAGACTTATTTGATGTTCGTCCAATGACATTACGTGGTGAAATTTTTGTCACTGATTCTGTTGTTTTAATTTAATGTGACTCTCTTTAACTTGACAGTTTCTCTTTTTTGAGTGATAATGTTTTTGTAATTATTTATTGTATTCCTTAAAACATATTCATGAAATGTTATAATGTTATGATTTACTAAAAGAAGCCATAACTTATTGTACTTTAGAACTCATTATTAGACAATATTCATTGCTATAAAAAATTGAAAATTAATTAAGGTTCAAACATTGGTTTTATGTAGAATTATGAAATTTGAAAAATCTTTTAATAAGAATTTACGCGATTCATTTAATCTTCCAAATTAAAAAAAGAAAAAAACATTTCATAAGAATTTGTTGCAGAATTTGCGAAAAATCCTATGTCAAATTTGGATGCATGGATATCAGCACCGGAATATGATGAGCCACCACTTCAGTATAAAGATGCAATGCAGTTAGAACCAATGCAGGCGCCACCAATGCGAACGTTACATCATTTTTCAGATGGAAGAGAAACATTAACCGATTCTACATCACATGAATCCGTAAAAATTAATCTGCAAGATCTGGAACGACAAACTGTTACACCAATGATGGAGGATATTGAGCAAGGACGACGAAATACCACTTCCACGGCACCTTTTGGTAGCACAGTATGTAGTAATAATTAATTATATTACATAATTTCTAAATTGTTCATGTAGGATATCAGTATTATTTCAACAATCAGTCTCAACATTTCTCGTCAGATTAATTTAATAATTTTATGCCAGAATTTTTTTTTTTGACAGCATCTTCTGAGAGAAGAAAAGAGAAAAAAAAGAACAAAAAATTGTGATACGTTAGAATTAGACATTTCAAGAGCATTTTTTTAGTACAATATTCCAAATACCTCCAAAGATTTTGCTTTAAATATTTCTTATTTGTTGATTGTAATTGTTATCATATGAATTGTTTCAAATGTCGAATCATTTCAGCGTACCACTACCGATCCTTC